AGCGTTCTTATATCTACGAACTAGAGCCGCAAACGCTGCAGCGTTAACTTAGCTAACTCCTCTTAGTAGAGCCCCTTTAGTTAACCTTACTTAAATGCCCTTTAAGTAGATAAAAATGCTCTTCTTAGCGGGGGCTACTAACACGTCTTAGTAGTTTATCTATCCTCTACTAAAGTACACGTCCTTACTAGAGGACAAATTTATTACATATGCGTAGGCAGTCTCTTCGTACCCATACATCTTAAACGAGAATTAGGCAACCTTATTAATCTCTAATAGCTTGCTATTCACCCCCTCAATTATTTAAGTAGGTATTTAAAAGCGCTCTAGACAGTAGCGGTAAGCAAATCTCTTGCTAATTAGTGCATAGCATAGGCATCCGCAGTCAATAAGCGCAACAGCGTTTACTACGTTGTTCACAATAAGATCTATAGTAATTAGTAGAGGACGCATATGCTTCTGCTAAAACTAATTCCATTCGCTACGTATCTGCCAATCTATCTTTAGAGGCTCTGGACCAAGACTCTAGTCTAGAGCTACTCTTTTTCCAACTCGCTACTCGGCACCTGATCGACTTCCTCCTGCGGCTTATGTCCAACGTTGCTTAGCGCGGGCCTTGCCTTCTTGACCTAGGTGGCGTTTCGACAGTATTTCACGATATGACCTAGCTCTCCACAGCGATAGCAGTCAGGCAGAGGTCGTTGTAGCTTGCCTCTAGCTTCTCGCGCCTAATTAACCTTTAAAGGCTCCTAGTCTATAACGTCTAGACTAGCTTCGTGTTAAGCGGTTGTTGTAGTAGGGCGATCTACCACCTAGGAGCTCGTTGCGCGCAGTTTAATAAGACCTACCTAGTAGAGGTTGTCGGACGTTCTTACTGCCTTATTAACTAGCTGCTCGTACGATAGATTCTCATTAATCGTAGCAAGAGCCTCCTGCAGCTTAGTGTAAAGGCCCTTTAAGAACATACTCTTCTTAGCTGCTTCGCCAAACTGCTCGCCTAACTAAATCTCAAGACGGTTAAACTCTATGTAATAGTCTCTTACTAAGAGCTTGCCTTGTTTAAGAGTTAAAAGGCGATTAAGTGCTTTAGACTTCTAGTGTGGGTCGTTAAACTGCTAGTCCATAAAGCTCTAGAGGTCTTCAATGTGGCGTTTACTCTGGTTCTATATTGCCTAGGGTAGAAGTACATCCGCTGCCTTGCCCGTACACCTACTAACCACGTACTCGATCTAAGCGAGGCTTGAAGTTCCTTTGTACTCGTGCTAGAGCTTAGCTTAAGTCTTATATTTAAACGCTACGTACTTTGTTTGATCTCTATTAAATAGTTCTAGGTGCGGGAACTTGTTCCTGCGCGCAGCTGGCTTGGCGATTGCAGCTGCTGCTAGGGGAGGCGTAAAGGCTCTATAGGACGACTCTAAACGCCCCTCAGCTTGGTTACGCTCAAGTGCCACGAGCCGTTCCGTTAGCACCTGGTTCTAGGCTGTTAACCGATTCATCAGCTCCATCATCTAGGCCATGGCATCCTAGTTGGCCTTCAGCGAGCCTCCTTGCCTTGGTGAGCCCTTTCCTCCCACGACGGCCGATCGTTTGGCGACCGCTTTAATCGTTAGCCTAATTGCTGCCTCCTTCTATCCATCCTCTCTAAGCATTTATGTAATTTCGCGCAGGATCTCTTCATCTAATACTCCTGCCTAGTTCTTAGCAGCAGCGTACGCCGCCAACTCTTCTACATTCAAGTTTGGAACGTTAATCTCCATTGCCTAATTCGTTTTGGACGTCTCGTTCTTTGCCTGCTAATATACAGGGCTTCTAGTCGCTCTTCGATCCGCTCGCGCAGTCCTAGACTGCGGCCTACTCCTCGTTAGTGAGGACTAGTAGGGCTTACCCTTGGCTGTCCTTGTTACTAGCCAGAATCTAAACAGCGTTCTGTCGCTGTTGTGTCGCGTCCCTAGGAAGACTCGCGTCTTGCCGTCTCGCTCATGGGATCTTGTCTCCTATTGAGAGTAATCGCACGGCCTACACCTTATCCAATAGAGGAACAACAAGACTTCTTACTACAACGTCCGCTTCTAGCTAACTATACACTAGGCCCAAGTAGCCTTTAGGTAGTTTATCACGCGACGTTATGCCTACAGCTTAGCTTTCTAAGACACAATAGGACTTCCTAGACAGGTCTTAGGCGACTAATTCGCCTACTATCTCTCACGGCTGAACTTCCTGCGAAGCTCTGCCCTAGGTGTACTGTCTTACGACGGTCTACCTTCTTGCTGCACTAAAGGCCTTTCGTACCTATTATAGCACTAACTCTATGTTACTAGCTCGCACTAACAACACGCTCTAAAACTTAGTTAAAAGATAGTCTACATAAGGCTTATGTCTAATTGGGATTAAATATAAAATATAAGGGGCTGCGCTTTAGGGAGCAATTGCGAGGTATATAAGAGGTTGTATTTAATAAGGAGCTATCTACTCTGCTTACGTGGTGTTTATTTACTTATCAGAGAAAGGTTATGCTGGAGTATCTGAGCGCGTTGTCTGAGCGCTGCTCGGTCTGAACGTAGTTCAGATGGTGCGCGCGCAGCTTGGCCCGAGATTCCATCGAGGAGCTATCCAAAGGGCGTTCAGCCCGTTACACCTAAGTTTATTTTCATAAAAGATTAGACCGTTATAGATTGATATTCACTATATTAGATATTTCGTTATCATTGTAAAGCCTTACAACTCTTCTTAGGATATTCTAGTGTTAATTAGAACAGTTATTAAATAAGATTAAATAAAAGTAGCATATTATAACAATGCTATAAGCTCTACCAAGTACTAGAACTATAATAGCGTTAGACTAGGACAAATATCCGCTATAGGACAATAAGGCCTACTAACCCCGCTATATTTCTACTTTAGGAACTTAGGTCTAGCTTAGACCTAATAGCTATAAGTATTTATTAAAATATTTTTTATAGATAGCTTAGTAAATTTTAATATTCTTTTATAAAAGGCCTATAGGTAGCTTATTAAATGTAGGCTCTTAGGATCATACGTACTCTTATATGCCTCTAAGTGATCCTACAACCATTACAGATCCAACCTGCCTAACCTGCGCCGTTACACATATGAGAACATCTATTACTACAGAACTATGTATTTACATAATTCCAATCTCAACCCCAAGACATCGTGCACTATCCGTAACTCATTATCCACCAACAATCGTTGATCCTAATATACCAAGAGCCGTTAAATACTCTCTGGGCGCTCATCTTGATCTACAAAGCTCTTATGGTTGCTTCAGCTTATGGTTGCGAGAGTTGTTAAGTACTACGATGTGTCTCTTTAACACTTCATAGTGTGGCCGCTGATAGAGCAGCCTTCCGCACCCCACTTTGGACTCGTTAGTATCTAAGTTTGAAACTTATGTATGATGACAACAACTTACATTGATCCATCCACCATCGCTGTCATTAGTAATGGAGCTTGATTGAACCTGGAAACAATCATAGCTTTCAAAGTAGCATTAGTAAAGTCTTTTCACAGCTAAGGGAAAAATCAAGGAGCTTACGTGGTGTGGTAAATATCCCACTTAGATTCCTCAGTAGCAAGTCCGTCATACACAGCACCAGAACTAATCGAGTATGATCCATTGATGCAAATGACGCCACGTGCGCCTGCTTTTCGCGTCGCGTAAATATCCTTGATGTTCTCCTTCGTCAAAGCAGTGCGAGCCTGAAGCGATTTCTCAATATCGGGTGCAAGATCAAGTGCGGCATGAACTTACCTGGTCGAAATCTTTCCAGCCATCCACTGAGGGAGCGCGCCGTCTCCGTCGATGTCGTTCAGGCTGAAATTGGTGTCAAGGTTGTGCATTGCGATACGGACCCCGCTGATTGACAGATATAGCACTTCCTCGGCATTGTTCGCTCGACATTGGCCATACTGAAGTAGCCGCTTCCATACGTCAATGGTGCCCTGCGTGCATACCAACACAGACTCCATGCGTTGTAAGCTCGGTTCTTCTCTCATTAGAGCCTTTAGACTGGCCAAGATTTTCGCAAACCACTGCGAGCAGTTGCACGGTAGCCCTTGGCTGTCTTGTATCGCTCTGGACGAGGAGTACTCGATCAACATGTCCACCGCATACATCCAGTTCTTCGAGGTGCTTGACAAAGCTATGTGCGGGAGAGTTGCCGTGTCCTTTGCCTTTCTCTTGCGTTTGCTCTTGTTTCGGGTTTCCCATATCTGCCTGCCATTCCTCCACCGACTGAAATGTTGTATCGGAGCAATCCATGAGCATGTCATGAGTACTGTACAAGGTGCCCGGGTAGGATGCAGTGTTGGCTACATTTAGACTCTTGGGGCTGTCGGAAAAAAAATAGTCTGTGAAAGAGATGGGCTTGTAATAGGGTGAAAATGCCGAAGTGTCTGCGAGCAAGTCCGGTGGAAGTGATTGGTCAGCAGTTTTGCAGCTTGGATGTGTTTTTGCTTTTTTGAGACTGTTCTGATCAATATCAAACGATAAACAATATGGTGCCGAGTTCTCGGTATCGTCTTGGTAGTTGTTCGAATCGGGAGCTTCTTTATCGGTAATCTTCTTATGCTCTGTCGTGCTGGGGTCTTGCGAGGAGTGCAATTGCTCGGCTGGATTTGCCGAGCTGCACTCCTTTCTTGCAACTTCAGGGTTAATAACTTCAAAAAAGCGTGGTTGTGCCTAGTGATCATCCATTGAAAGCTGGTATATGTACTTTTCGTCGTACCTTGCTACCAAGTCGGGATATTGTTTTAAGTGGAGTGCATATACTACACCGTAAATGTCATAGAGTGGTAGGAAGATGTAGGCTTCCTTATCTTGGGTGCATTAACAGCTTGTTAGCCACGTTATCAAAAAAAAATCAAACAGTCTTTAATTGTAGTTGGGCTAGTACTGCTGAATCTCCTTTAATGAGGTCGTGTGTTAGACAATATGGATATAGTAGTCCTACAAGCTCAGCAACGTTATAATATGATATATCATGCTATAGCAAGGACGAGGCGCAGTGGCTATGGGCGAAATGCAGCGAAGCAACGGGACCAGTCCTGAGGCGCTTGCAGCGGCGCACGCCATCTTTCGCACCACCTCATTCAAGGAAATTGAACAGGCTCTAACTGCCCCTGGACTAGTACTGTTCGATTTATTTTGATAAGGCAGTGATCGGGCGGGAATCTTCACTCGGGACTTACGCGGCTGACGGAAGGGCGTGTACAAGTAGTGTTGGGTCTAGGGGCCGCTGTAGCGGTTATCCAGGTTGAGGCAGGCTGCGTAGTGCTTGTTCATAGATAGCACTAAGCTTATGGCCGATGTGGTTGTGGTTGTGGTTGTAGGCGCAGATAGCGTGTATGCTGTTGTGGTGGGGTGGTTGGGTGCGAGGCCAGTCGTGGTAGCGTCTACCAGCCCCAATCTAGCCCAGATACAGCTAGCGCTCCCGCTAGCCCATAGGGGAGTTAGAGCCGCCACTAGCGCCCGAGCGATCGGTTTTGGTTCCCCAGAGCAATAGCAATAGTGATGGTACCACAGCTTCGACGTATACAAGAAGTGCGAAGAAGTCATGTCTTCCCCCGCCACCTTGAGTTGCTACAACTCTAAGCTACTGCTGTATGCAATTTGACAAGTTGTCGTGTCATCCATGAAAGTATCATTACTTCCTGCGCGCCTAATATCTCCGTTACTTACTAGTCTTGTTTGTGATGGTTGATTACGAAACGAACAACAGGAGTTGCTACAAAACTTGAATTGATTCTGAAACCAACCCCGTGAACAGTGTCTGGTGACTGTATTCCAGCTATCAAGTCCCGATAGCATTTACAATCAAGAGAAGGAAAGGAAGTCAAACAAAACCGGCCTTGTAACTCGCGTCGGAGCTCGCGCATGGTCCATATTCCCTTGAAATCCTTCGTCACGCCACTCTATGTTACTCATTACCATCGCTTTTTCCATGCACCTCAGTGGTGAATACCATGCACTGCATATTATTGCGTCAAGTTATCCAAAGCCATACCTCGTCCTAATGCCCCCTTGCCCAACTCACCAGATCAGCATCATCGTCGTTGTCACAAGCACCCTTGCGAACAGGTCCAGTGGATCCTGTAATCAGCGCTGTACCTTGCTTAGGTCTAGCGGCAGCAGGCAAAGGCGTTGGACAGTACTCAAGCAGCGACTTGACTGTTGCGCAAACGTGTCGTTTGCGGGATTTAGGCTGCTCCGAACTAATGCTCAAGTGGCCAGTGTCGGGCAGGACGGCGGCGAGGAGCTCTCCAAACGCGGCGCCATCGTGCAGACAGCGGCCGTCCGAGGTTGAATAAATGGCGGCGCGACGCGCATTCAGCGGCGTCTGCAGCAGCGGCGACGTGCCTAGCACCCACGAGGCATCGACTTGACGGGCGGTACATTGGGCATATGGACACGGCCGCGCGCTTCCGTGGGGATGCGCAGCGCCTGGCCCAGCTCGCGGCTCCATGCCCGCAGCCGTGTCTGGGTCGAGGGCGGGCTGAAGAGCGTCATGCATCCGCGGGCCTCGACTCCAATGGCAATGCGTCGCGCGGGCGGCACTTTGGTCTCGCCGTGGAAGGCGTCCAGCAGCTGCTGCACATGGGCTGTCTCGAGGCCCAGGATCGTCGCCGCCCACGGGCCGGGCGTGACATTGATGCGTTGTGAATTGTGCCAGATTTGGCGCGCCAGGCGAAGGGCGATGCGAGTTGTCTCGACGGCGAGGGCCACCGCCGCAGCCATCTGATCCGTGCACAGCCCGATGACTTCGGTCCGATGGCCGCCGTCCTTGGCCTTGCCAAGCAGTGTGGCGTTCTCGTCGGCAGATCTGGAAATGGTTAGCCTCGGCTGTGCTCCGCTCCGCCCCGCCCTCCTCCGTCCCGCTGTGCCCCGCCCCGCTCCGCCCCGCTCCCGCGCCCCCACCCTCATCGTGTCACAGAACCAGAACAAGCACGTACACAATCAGCTCCGCCGCCGCCTGCAGGAATCTCGACGCTACTTCGCGCGTCTTTGCCAGCTGTGCCAACGCCCATACCCCAGACAGCTTCTCTACTGTCTGGTCTCCAAACAGGAGCAAATCGATCGGGCTGTTGTTCATGTTGACTGGGGCGTAGGGTGCTTGGTGGCAAAAGCAAACAAACAAACAATCAGGCTGCGGCTCTCACCACTACCGCGGTGCAACATGGCTCCTTGTCTTCGCCTGCAACATGAACGCCGACTTCTTTCCCGCGGCCATGACTTCTCGTTGAGCGGATCAGTTTGAAGGTTTCTCCAAGGATCTCGGCCATCAACTCCGGTCGAGTAGTCCAGATATTCTGGAATTTGATAAAGACATAGGCTGGTCCGTAGCTCAGGCCGTAGGTGTCGAGATGGGTGTAGAGGTCGTCGTGGGTAGTGGTCACGTGCGCAGACCTGGTCATAGCGCCGAGCGTCTCACGTGCCTCTTGCACCTCCAGCATCCGCTCCACCGCCATGCCCGACCCCGTGGGCGCCTCGTAGTCGACGACAATGAGACGCGAGCAGTTCTGGCGCAGCGTCTGCCCGTCAGCCCAAGACGCCACGGTGAAGTCGCTCCACACGGCTGTCGACGTCGCGTCGAGCGTGGCCGCCCGGTGAGGCTTCAGCTCCAGGATGACCTCGACGTCGCCCTCGCCCGGCACCACCAGGGCGACATCAACATCAATCAGCACATCGCGCAGCCGGAAACCATGCACAAACGCCGAGCCGGATCCGCCGCCGGATACAGCACCAAGCCCGAGATGCTGTGGTCGCGCAGCCATGGCTCCTCGTTTGCGCACACGAAGCCCCGCCAGAGCCTGGAGTCGGCGCTCCAAGCAGCGGCTGGCGCGCGTGCTGGCGGAGGCGGCCTTCACGAGCAACGCGCGACTCGCACTAGTACTGCAGGCTGTGGTTCCAGGCGTATGGCGGCAGATGGACCAGCGGCTTCACTGGTGCATCGACGTCGTTGACGGCCCGCGTATCGACGGCGACGCCCTGCACTAGCAGCGCGCCCGCACACTCGAGCGCCGTCTGCACGCCATCCTTGCCGCGCGAGATCACGGCGCAGTAGCTTACGTCGGCGATGCCGTGGGCCTTGAGAATCTGGTTGCTTGGGCCCTGCAGCGCTGCATGCGGGCCTACTTCGACGAGAATGTCCACCTGGTTGGCCGGCGAGCGCTTGCCATGCTTCAGCTCAGGCCGGATCAGATCGTGCAACGCATCGGAGAATTGCACAGGTGACACCAGGTTCCGCACCCAGTTGCTGGCCCCCAGCTCCGACGGCTCCATGTAGCCCCCCAGCACAGCCGAGTACATCTTGCGGCCTCCTTGTCATGTGCACTCAGCACAAACAGCCTGGGAGTATGACTCGCAAATCCATTCGTCTGCTTTGGCCCCTCCGAGTCGTATGTCTTGGTGTAGTGGTTCTCAGTCAGCTTCCGACTCTTCAGGTAGTGATATGCATCGTCCAGTACAATGCGGGCGTTGGTACCGCTGTAGCCAAATGCTTGCGCGCTAGCTCGTCGCAACCCATTCTTTGGCCACGGCGTAAGCTCGGTCGGCACGTTCAGATTCCACTCGTCCCACTTGACCTTTGGGTTCGGCTTCTTGCTAGAGATGGTTGGTGGGATCAAACCATTTTCCAGTATGTATATCACCTTGATTATGGACGCAAGACTAGCGCAAGCCTCTAGGTGACTAATGTTGGACTTGACTGAACCTACATAGAGCTTTTCTGGTGGCGAATGATGTGGGCTAAATTTTCGGGAAAAGGCCTCCGTCTTTTGGGTATCGCCAGCCTGTGTGCCTGTTCCGTGTGCTTTGACATATCGCGTCTCTGCTATGCTGAGACTGGCTCTACGGTACACGTCACGTGCCAACTGCTCCTGTGCATCAGCACTGGGCAATGTGAAGCCTTTGGTCCGCCCGTCTTGGTTGCACGCCGAGCCCCTGATAATGGCACGGATTGGATCCCCGTCTGCGATGGCGTCGTCCACTCGTTGCAGGATGAGAACAGCTATGCCATCACCACGGCCGCAACCATCCTCGGACGCATCAAAGGCCTTACACCTACCGTCTCTGCCGAGGAACTGCTAATTTGACAGGAACTAGAACATTTCCAGGTTCAACAAAAGACTCTCAGCTCCCACAAGCGCAATGTCGGATTCTCCTAATATAAGGCTTTGGCATGCCTAATGCACCGCCACGAGGCTTGAAGAACATGCCGTATCCAGCGTAAAACTCGGCCCCTTCAAGTCAAAGAACCAAGATATACGATTGGACCCCGCCGTGATGCACGCCCCGTTAATAGTGTACATTAGGCCCAAGTCGGCGTCTTTGAAAATGTTATCTTAGTAGTCAGTGGTGAAATTGCCAACAAAAACACCAGTCCGCGACCCTGCTACCTTCTCGAGTGGAAGCCTGTTGTTTTCCATGGCCTCGTATGCTGTCTCAAGGAGCATTCGTTGTTGAGGATCCATAGCTTCCGCCTCGATCTTGAAAACGTTGAAAAAGTTGGCATCAACGGTAGAGATATCTTGCTTTAGAAAATTTGCGCCCCGCATCTTGCCCGTGATGATCTTCTTCCCCGGGTAGTGAAAGGCATCTGGGTTCCACCGATCAGGGCTTTCCGAGTATGCGGCTTCAATCAATCAGCTCAGACTCTTCCTTGTCAAAGCATTTTTACCTACATCTGCCTTCACAAATGAACCTCCAGAAGTTTTCCGCCGTATTTCCATCGGCGGGGAATCGACAGGATAGACCAGTCACTGCAGTGGAATGTGCATCTGCTGTGCCATGTTGTCTAAATCCGTTCGCTATCCTTGTCATTTTAATATAGGCGATTTTGAAAGCTCAAAAATTGTGCGTGCTTGAACCAGACTGCTAGATGCTTTTTGATGATATGTACCGTTGTTCTATATGTAGGCTAAGTGTTTTTGTCTTTGTACCAATCACGTATCACTCGTACGGTCAAGCATTTTAATAGCTAGAACCGTGCCAAATTCGCTCTAGTTGTCAATGATTTGCTCATAAGAATCTAGTCGGTGGTCACCGGCTTCGGGAGAAGAGAAATTGAACACCAAAGTAAATTCAACTACCAATGCCAACCATGCACTTTAAAACTGGAAAATTCAATTATCTATTTTTCAATACGGCCCTTCTACAGCTGCCGAGGATATTTTATGCTTTTCTTCATCCTCTCTGCTTATCTGAATGCCAGATACGCCTTTTTCGAAAGAAGCCTCCCGCTTCTACCAAGGCCTGTACCTGTCTTACGATTTGAACTGTAGCCTAGGAAGTACATGCTACAATCCTTGTCAGTCTATAAAACTGCTAATTGGTTACCTAGAAGTCCTCCGTTCTCCCGTTTTTTTAAACAAGTATTGTTTATCTAAGAGTCTTTCGCACGCATGGGGCATCCTACAGCCACTGCAACACAGCGCTGCTGGGACTATATAATCGACTTGCTAGTAGCTGAACTGCAAGTCCCAAAGTCTAAAATCAGCAATGACGATGAATTATCTAAGTTAGGTGTTGATGCTATCCTAGGATGCAACATCATCTCCAAGATCTCTCAGCACCTTAGCATTAACCTTCCCGCTAGCGTATTCGAAAACCACAGCAGCGTTGGCAAGTTTTGTGCCTATATTGCAGAACAAATACTTTTGTACTAGTTAGAGGAATGACCTAAGCTTGCCAAGAAACGCTCCTTTGAGCCTAAGACTGCTGTAATCTCTATAGTTACTAAGTTGTAAACACGGCCTCCTACTATTCCCAAAAAGCCCGCCCTTAGGAAAAAATCTAAAACTCCCCTTTCCATGATCCTCTAAGGCAACGCCACTAAGGCATCTCAAACAATCTTCCTTCTCCCCGATGGTTCCAGCTCCAGTATGGCCTACAACAACATCCCCCCCCGTCTACCCTACCACCTGCCTTATTGGTCTGAATAGCCCCTATCTCAACCGAGCCCACGACTACAACTGTACCATCGAACAAGTCGCCGCACAATGGATTCCCGAAATCCGCGCCCGCCAACCTCACGGGCCCTACATCCTGGGCGACTGCTCTGCCGGCGGGTACTATTCCTACGAAGTCACGAAACAGCTTTTAGCTCAGGGAGAAGCCGTTTCGAAACTCATCCTTCTCGATTCACCCTGTCGTACCGACTTCGCGGCCCTGCCCGTCGAGTGGCCAGGTATCTGGGAAAGACAGGCCGGATGGGGAACTGGGATTCCGGTGATTGCACCCCAGAATGGGTGACTGCACATTTGGAAGCTACGCTGCGCGTGGTACGAGCGTATATGCCGACGCCGCTGCGTGTTCCGGTGGGGCTGCGCGAGCCACAGGTCTTCATCGTATGGTGTCGTGATGGGGTATGGACAACTTATCCTGACGACGACCTCAAACGATATGAAATGGATATGAATGTGCGAATTACAAGGTTTCTTTTGGAAGGCAAGCAGGGTTTTGGTGCGCATTGTTGGGATAAACTGTTCCCAGGGATGGAGCTGTGGGTTGCGACGATGCCAGGGAGCCATTTTACGTTGATTGGGCCGCCTTATCTGGATACTTTGGGCGTGCTATTGAAGGATGTTTCGATGGAGAGCAAAGGTGACGGGGAGGGTCTGTGGACAAGGGTTGTAAATTAGAGGTTTGGCAGTTTGAATTTTGGACTATGAATGCAGCCATGTTCCTCATTACATATCAATCCATAACCCACAATCACACAACTTTCTTTCAGCGGAAAAAATCTGAAGTATTAATGAAACATAATGATGTCTCTAAATCGTACAATAGGATGGATAACGTTGGGGGAAAAACGGTATGAATGAGATAGACTGGTGTCAGACTGTGAGGTGTTTTCTAATCAAGGATAGACTTAAGTCACTGTGATAAATAGCTGCGATAATTGATGGGAGAAATTGATTGTATTGATTGTTCTGTCCTCGCCAGCGGCGCGCAGGAGCGCCGCCTTATGAGCGCTGTCGCTGCGACACCAGTGGTATCAGTTGTGTCTCATGTATCGGCCCTACCTAGGGTGGGCTTGGCGCTTGACTCTGATTGGCTAGGATCACAGAATCCTGGTGCTCGAGTCCGCACCCGGATTCTGCCGCTTATCTGACAACTGGTCTCTAGGCAAATGTTGAATATTGCTTGTGTACGCTCATGATCACGAGACGACAGCTTCACACGACAAAGATGTGCAAGCAAACAGCTTAGGTAAGTCACTTTATATTTTTCTCCTCAACTGTTATAACTTCCTGTGTCGGAACAAATTCACTCTTTACTCAAAAGTGACATATAGGGTACCTTGAACGCTGCATTGTACATTTATACAATCAAATTCATGTGTACTGAAATTCTGCTAAATGTTACATGGATTAATATAACACTCATAATATTCCGCTCCCCCTAGTGTTACAAGTTTCCACTGACAGCAATATGCAGTACCACGCACTATATCAAAATGCTTAATCCCAATCATTGTTATATCACTTGGCTAGCTGAAAGCAGCAATATCGGATGAAAGAAAGATGTTTTGTATAACTCCGATTTCCGGCATGTAATCATGCAGCTTCAATACCTCTTGCCCATGCTTGATTGCCTTTATCAACTCCATCATGTGTCTATGTCTTTGTAATTTCATACCCACTGAATTATCTGATTCCAATTCGAGTTCAGATAACGAGGTTTGTGCGATAAGATCCACTCCGTTTTGGGAACTGGGCAGCCCATGGCGACATACATCATCAGTGTCACTCGGCCTGTGGATTCAAGCAAACAGGCTGTTCGATAGTGTGTAAGAAAATGTCCGACAGGGAAATATGAGTGCCAGAGAGCGGCATTTTTGTAACGGATTAGGAAGAAATTGTAGCCGCACTCTTCTGAGGGGCATTGTGCTCCAGTCACCATTTAAAATGCAATCCCTAGCAATTTGTTCTATATACCGACATTTATTGAGCAGAACCCCCCATTCCATCAATCACTCTAAGTTTACGAGCCACTTATAGTTAGCCTGGAGGTAATGGTGCTATTTAGGGCCCAAACATGACAAGATCGTCGGATAATTTTGGCACTGATGGAGTAGCTCACTCAACGGCAGTGTTGGCTTAATAGCTTCGCTAGCTAGCCGCTTAGTTGCAAATAGAAAATTATTAAAGTAAGTGTCATTGTAAACTGTAGTCTAGGCAAGTCATTCGGCTACCAACAGCGGGTGCTTATACTCTAAGCCTATGCTGATATACATCAATGAATAAACGTATCCTAAAGGGTTCGCATCAAGTTTCACTTGTTGGTATGGAAAAATAACCATGATGCATGCGGCCTATGAGGTTATTAGCCAGTTCAATCCATCAAGCACGTATTTCTGTAGCACCTTTTCGTGCCCGAGTTTACCAATCTCCCTTTCGAAAAGTTTGATCAATTTAGGAAGCAGTCTTCATTGCCTGGGTAGCGCTGACGGACACTTGATTTGCTCAGCTAGTTTAAGGATCACCAGTTATTGTGATTGGGTTGAAAACTGTCACGTAGAAATCAACATAAGCGCCGAGTGGGAGTGTAGGGACTAAATCTGAATCGCCGAACCACCGAGTAAACACTTCACGAACTTCTATGAACTAGGTACCCCTATAGACAAGAAAGAAGCTGAAAAAAACCCTTTTTAACAATGGTAAATATATAAGAGCAAATTCTAGGGTTGAATAGTAGAGTGGAATACGTTTCTGACAACCATGGGTTCCTTTCGACTCTTTTCTCCGCTCTTGCTTATGACAGCGGACCTAGTACTTAGTAAGGCTTCAGAGCTTCATGTCCTAATATCAGTGGGAAAGATTGTTGGCTTTATCGACACTGCCATCCCCGCGGTGAGGCAGTGGCGCGGTGTTCGTTTTGCTGAACCTCTGTTTGGCCCTCTCCATTTCCTTCCTCCTTCTCAAACAAAAGAGCCAATCGAATTTTTTTATGGCCGCGGCCACGCAACCATCACAACAGCATTACATGACTACTGCGCCTAACATCAACGACCTTGTTCCTCGGTTTAATCTGCTGAAGTCCTGCGATGAAGAATGCTTGTGTCTGAATGACATTGCGCTTGTGAGGCCTAAGACAGAAAATTTACCTATTGCAATCTGATTCCAGAGTAGTTGACAAACCTTTGGTAGCATCAATACTCTATATAAGAAGTCGCAAAATTGGTATAGAGGCTTCAGGAGCAGGTTGTTGTTCAGTTTATGTAGGTTTGCCCTCATATGAAGGATGTGGAAATTGACAAGATGTTAATACGTGAGCAGCTACCGTTTCAATAGCCTAGGCTTTCTCAACACCCATAGTTTGAACTAATCGTAGCTGTATTTAGGACTACATGAGTTTTGTACCGTGTAAGTTTGATGTTCTAACAACAAACCATGTCAGACTCTGTACTCACGACGTATAGCAGTGAATCGGTCTGCGACAACCTTGCCAACTTTCACAGTGATCCCTGCAATATTGCGCTCTGGGGCCACGCAGCTGGGGCAGTCCTTATCGATAACCATGCGCTCTCCTTTGCAGAGGATACAATTGCCTGTACCTTGATCTTAGAGAGTAGTATTATATTTATAGAATTTTTGACGTCGAGTTCCAAACAGATATCTTATCGTTAGGTCTCGGAGCCATATAATATCACAGGAACCACAGAGCAGATTGTTGATTACATGCACGTTGTGAAAGCTACCTCACTGGAAACGCTTTTGCAGACGAACACCGGCCAACCCGCTCTCACATTCGGCGCGGTAGCATATAGCCGCATTAAATTCTTGATATACTAGAACAGTTCAATAGTTGTGCTATTTCCTATAAACTATCTTTATATCATATCCCGTTGTACCGTATAAGAAGCATATAAACAGCAATTTGTATTTACGGACTTCATAACTCATGAACTTAGATTGATAAACTATCTAGTAATCGAGCTAGTGGTCTAAACTAGGTCTTTGGATCCTGTTTATAAGCCAACTTAGAAAATTTGTATCATATGGTAGTGTTATTGTAAGGCTCAACTGCTCCACATCCTGCCTGTCAATTCTTTAGCGTAGGAGGTTTTTGTGCGAAAGGGGTAACGTACACGGCAGGTTCCTTGGTAAAGCCTACATCCAGAAAGACACTCTCTCGTGAGATCTGGTGGGTTGTGCGCATTGCTACAATTCTGTCTGCAATCCATCCAATTCTGGTCGCATTTATCAATGCATGGCTGAATAGTGCTTTGTGCTTTGTGTTCATTAGCACTACACAGTAATACCATATCTTGTTTACATACGTGCTGCAGATATGCAAGTAGTTATAGCAATCAGTATAATGTTAAAAACACTGCGCATGTTGATAGTTTTTTGTAGGATTGCCTTTCGCTGAAGATGAGTTGATATCTGTGCAGGCGATGATAGGATGCTGATAGTAGAAATCAAAGTGTAAGAGACGACTTATATATTGAAGCTCTTTACTACAAAACTGAGCAGTATGTACTTCGTTCTATCAGCAGTGTACCCGTGTTAGTTTAAGCCAGGGGTACCTCTAGATACAGTTTTCAATAAAGCTAAATCAATTAACATCTTAGTAGCGCCTAGCCTTTTAGACTTTGCTTAATTAAAAAAGGAATATTCTAATGTATACAGGTCTATGCTCAAAGACAATGGTCAGCTATGTTACTGCGCCGTTAGCTGAATATAAAAATCAGCCTCTCAAGATCCTCCCACAAAACCAAGGACGGCCTAACAAGTCGTTGGAAACTTGAATATTCTGCACTTTTTCATACCCCTTGTTATATACAGTCGGTTAAGCAGTCTATAGATTTGTTGGTTATAAGCATAAGAGCAAACTAAGAGCTAAATGTATTTATTCAGAAAGCTGCACCTAATCGGGGCCACCAAGCCAGCGATTTTGACAGGGGGAAAATAAGCCACGTAACTCCGCATATAATTTCGGATCTAATACGGGTGGTGAACATTATCTTACAGTCACATGCATCGACATATAGAGCCGTGATTATATGGCATGCTTCTATACTTGTTATAGTTTCAACTCCTTACATGTCAAAGTCTAATAACCTATAATACATATAGAGTTCCCTTTGTTACCATGTGAGTCATGAGCTGTGAATCAATATAACTACATTTGTATATAATGTGGGCCTGTATTTGGACCGGTTTTAAAACACATAGCACGAGAAAAGGATTGTAATTATCCCCAAAGTTCATCAGCTAAAGCAACCCCATATTTCCTATACAATGCGCCTACAGGATACCGCGTCGTTGAATATCCAGACGCGCTATGAAGCACAATTATGATCGCAGAACGTTTGCTTCTCTATTTGGTAGTAGGAATCTACTATTAACCAACAATGCATTTCTTACAATAGCTCTGTTCCGCATGGTTATCTTACAAAGCTCTGGATAGCTTACTACAGCAACCAAAGTTAATATCATATGATGATTGTAAGATAATATTGTATATGGCTACCAAGTCACCCATCTCCGTGATTTGTGGGTACTCTGCGGACAGAGTGAGCGCGGTTCATGCTGTAGATATTGGTAAGCACCAATAGGACCGGATATGCATGATTTAGTACCATACATATGAATATCAGCCTATCTCGTGTCAGAGTTGATCGGAGCTGGTCAAAATCTTCAACCGTAGTAGGTTACTTTGCATAACCCTGCAGAATACGCTGACTACTATGGCAGATCTAGCTCAGTCATCACAGGACAGGGTGCAATGATGACTGCTTGGATTGTGATACTTCACCTATCAAGATTGGAAACATCAGACAAGCTGATTGAAGAATCTAAGCATCAGATAAGCAAGTAGATCATGTGCAGAGTCAACTTGGACTCTTACTATATGCAATCATGCCAATTGTGTGTTGTGTCATAAGTGTAGTATCTGCAATATACACATACATACTGCAAGCTACTTGTAACTTAGGCATTCTTGTACGAAAGAGTCAAACAAACCTTCAAAGAATAGGGGGTTCACCCGTCGTGCAGCCAGGCGTAATCTTCTCGATTCTATTTGTAAGATTCTCACAGTAAGTCCGAATATCATGAACCTTGACAGCTCCTTTCGTGCAGTTTGTCAGAAATTTCGAAGGAAATCCTAGCGCCTATGGCGACAGCGCCCCATCAGCGCCAACATTAACTCAGACCTGCGTATCGTTATATCAGGGAGCACAGGGTGTCTGTCCTATTGTTGGACATGCCGCTTGCATCCTGAACGACTGGCAGTAATTTAGCAATTTGTCTATGCTTCTAATCTTGTGTATTCAAGCTGGGCGCTTGATAAATGAGTCTTTCTCATCTCAACATAAGGAACTCAGGTGTATCATAGTGGGGATCTAGCTTTACATTCCTTGTATGTTTGTGAAGACTTCCAGGTCCTATCAACTAGGACTTTAGCTGTTGCCTACAATAGATAAAGTTATTCATTCATGAAAAAGTGATATTCTAAAGAAAAGTTCAATTTCAATTCATGAGATAAGAGGTTTGCACAATTGTAACGAATTCTGTATCCGTAGTGGAAATTAGCTTCAAAATCGTTATCTGTTGGGCCAAATTCAGCTAGAGTAAGGATTGAAGCGGTAGATCTTAAGAATCTATCAAACCCTATAGGTGGCTCTTACGGCCTCCTAGCCTTACCATAGGTCTACTCACATTGCTTTTCACTTCTATGTAAGCTTACTCCAATATCAAAACTTACTTCGTTTACTCACCCGTTGACATGGCTATTGAAAATTTGAGTAGACCGTCTGGCCTTACCTCTCTGATTATACAGTTATTGGTTTACAGTTTCCACCTCTACAAACTGAGACATATGCTTTCGGCGCAGAAAGGGTTCCTGTGTACCCTGCCTAGAGCTACCACACAGCCATGTCTGTCTCACGCTTCCAGCGAGGCTAATTGGTGCACTAAGCAGATTGAACCATTTATCGGCCTAATATATGACCAGTACTATGCCATCTTGGTGTAACTGCTTACTTCTTACTAAGGTTTCCTTCTCATGTGGGTATTTGGGCAAAATTGAGCAAAGGGTTTTAATGATCTTCGTTATAGGCCGTATCGGTGCAGGCCAGGATAGGCTAGTTGTCTTAATCAGAAGTTGTGAGCGTATAATCAGCGAAAAAGGTTTATTTGCAGGATATTTACCGTACAAAGACAGAAACGAAACTTTAGCAACTGTGTTTCACTAAATGTGGTGTTGCACAATGTTCAGCTACACTTATCTATTTTGGTCCGTACGAAGAGAGGTGAATAGGGCCCGGCGGGTGGTTTTCCAGACTCGTTATTGTCGCCGATAAAGTAAAGCCCCTAGGGAAAAGGAAAAATGACAAGAGTAGCAAGCATGTACCTAGGAGTACCTGGAGACGCACCCAACGTGTCTTGGAGTCGACACCAAAGACCAGGTAAACCCAAAGACACCCTTATTCGTATGCTACTGGTAGACAATGCAGAATCGTGTCATATTTTCTCATCATCTGACCAATTGCCGCCTCTCCGCATGCAATTAGAGCACAATCAATGTACGTACGGCCTCTCGGGCAGCAGCAAATGAGCCTCAGGATCCGCTCGATAACGTCACAGACGCTACCTTTCCAATACGCGCCTCCGCATCGGGAAAATTGATGCACCCAAACAGAAATAACTTTGTAACGCTAGTTGAAGATGTTGGACTCTGGGCGTGATCTTGCTCGACGTGGCGACTGACAACGTTCCAAGCATCCCATGGCCCCATGGCCTAGACCGCATTATGCAGAACGCTATCATCATCAACCCGTACACAAGTGCAACTCCAAAGTCATCTCTACACCTCCTCGTCCCGCACTGAGGCCTAGCACTAGTGGCAGGCTTCCCACAATAATAACCCCCTCTGCCCCTACATACCACGACTACAGTTTACAGGGTCACATGCTAATACGAAGCTGACATTTCTTTCTACAAAGGACCCCGACAAAAAGGCTTGCCGCGCATCTGGTTTCGCGTACATCTCACCCACATCGATGTGGCCATACTCCAAATAGAGCCCGCATCTTTGGAGGAGGCTAGTCTTGCTTATTTGTACATTGCGCAAGCCACTACGAATGGAAGCCATTGAGCAAGATCACGTCGCCGTATCTCGTCATGAACTACCTTGCCAATCGCTGACCTATCTGATCAAAGTCCACATCCGACGACCAGGCTCTGCCCTAGCCACTCCCTATTGGTAACTCAAAGCCTGCTGTCACCTCGTACAGGACCGTACTTTGAGCCTTTCATCTAGCATGATGCACAACTACTGATGAATTGCATATACATATATGTTACAGCCAGCCACGTTAGGAGGTGTCTCTATATTGCTCACTCTTTGATTTATGGACTTCGAGTCGCTCTAGAATGGATAGATATAAAGTTAGTGTAGTTAACTAAGAAAAGAGTCATCTAAGAGCAAGGCAAGAAAGCGTTAGACTAGTGAGTAATGCTAAATCAGTATACTACAATACACAAAACGTGACAACAATGCCGCGAATCAGTGTCCGTTTGGTTGCGCTGCAGCCTTTGATATGATTCGTTCGGAACGTGTGGAGGCGCTTCATTTGACCTGCGCACCTTGAAGGCCTAATGTTTGACTTGTTCGGAACATGTGGAGGCGCGTTTTTAGGCTTCCCCGCTCTACGGCCTTACTATTCGGTCTATTCGGGACAAGTGGAGAATGGTCTGGGCAAGCGAAGATTGTGTGGCCAGTTACTACAGACCACTCCAATCCCCTCCTTCCTCCACCAGAATTCCGAAGCTCGTTGGATTCCTTGCTCGCGCATCTTACTTGACCAGCGAAATAACCTCCCCGTCTCGGTCGCTCTCCATGCCGACCACCAAAAATGTCCCTTCCGAGCCTATCGACTCTGTAAGAGGTCTCTTTCAGTGCACGAAATGCTCCCAAACCTACTCCCGGGTTGACCACCTTGCCCGGCATGTCCGATCGCGTATGTCCGCTGCTTTGCCGTCTAGTTCTAAGTCAAAATCAGCTGACTCATTGCGTAGATACGCAGGAGAAGCCATATCGTTGCGAGACATGTGACAAAAGGTTCAGCCGAATGTGAGTAGCAATACATCAGTACATGTGCGCTCCTTCTCATAGCCGGTGCAGCGACCTACTTCGGCGACATACCTCTATTCATGATGCGACAGTTGGCGAGGTTGCAAGAAAACGTCGCCGAATGAGCCCCATGTCATCAGCGCCCGCTCGTGCTTCTAAAGCTTGTGAAGCATGTGCAGAGCATCACCTGAAATGCGAAGACGACAAGCCCTGCCGAAGATGTAAACAAAAGAACATCGCATGCATAACAGCTCCCAGGGTGCCCAACGGAGATTGCGTGACATTGAGCTTGCAGCCCCCACAGCCGGGGGCCACAGAAGCCGAGCCAAGCGTTCGAAGTCACCGGGCCAGTCTAGGTCCAAATGAAGAGCCCGCAACACAGAGAACGTATCATGACCTTGATCCATTGGATCCTGGTTCATTGGATCCAGGACCAAATGATGGTATTCTCTTACAGCCTCGAACTGATGAGATACGCTCCTGCCAGCCACAGACGCTGACAGAACCGAATGGTGTTCCACAAGATTGCGTCGATACATTGCCCAGTCATCATCTTTTGTCTACTCCTCCAAGTGGAGCAAACACTCCCAATAGGTTCTTTGGGTTCGGTTTTGAGACGGATCTCGATTTCAGTGCGCTCGATCTCAGCTTCCTTGATACATACAACACTCAAGTCCCATTTGAATTTGAAAGTCAAATCGGACACATTACAGAACGACATGTAAGTCCAACCGAAGACTATGAGATGCAGGGAAATGTAAGGAGAGAATGCAGGCTCTCTGGTGACGTCCCGCAACAGTCTATTTGGCGCTTTGTTCCCGTTCCAACGGACGGAGGTTTTGCAGAGCATGGGAATCTCTCACTGCCCCATCATAATGGCATTATACAGAGTCCCGAGAGTTTTGGTGATTTCAAGCAACGAGCAACAAAAGAAAAGCTTGACCCAGCCTCACGTGACAAGATTCTTGCCATCATTTTGAGCCAAATGCGAATGCGCGCATATCCCACTTTATCGGCATTTCCTTCGACAGAGCTCCTTGATCATCTCATCCAATTCTTTCTTGCTGGCCCCGTCCCGAAAGCAAGTTCGTGGATTCATTGCGCTAGCTTCCAGCCCCGGTTGGCAAAGCCTGAGTTATTATTAGCGATGGCCGCTTATGGTGCAGTCCTGACTCCTGATCGGTCGCTCCGGAAACTTGGCTTTGCCTTGCAGAAAGTTGTCCGTAACCACCTCCCGTCGGTATTCGAAGACAACAATACCACTATTTGCGATCTTCAACTACACCAGGCATACTTACTGCAACTTGAGATTGGACTTTGGAGTGGAAATAGCCGCAAAATGGAAATCTCGGAAAGCTTTCAGCAGCCTTTACTCACGATGGTTCGTCGTCGAGGCTATTTCAAGCGGTCGGGTCATTTGACCATGAAAGTACACCCTGATGACAAGGGAATGGCGTTGGATAAGAAGTGGAAGGATTGGATTGTCCGAGAGTCCACAAAACGACTGGCGTACCATCTGATCCACCACGACGCACAATCCTCTATATCGTTTCTTGTGAGTCCATTGGTGTCCTATTCCGAGCTTGACCTGCCGTTGCCCGAATCCCTAGACCTTTGGCTGGCTGCTTCAGCAGGCGAGTGGAAGCGGTTGTACCTTGAGAAATACAGCAATAACACCATACGGATTCCATCGCTAAATGCCTGCATCGCGGATTTGGATCTTCTCGAGTATAACAAACCTTACATTGACACGAGTCTTTCCTGCTCTGCTATACTACACGCATTATGGGGCTTAGTTTGGGAATATCGAAAAGTAAGCCTACTCTTCTGTGGACAGCCGCGTATCTGGGACAGTGGGATGGCAATTCTATGTCGGTATCAAGAGCTCACCAAGATTTTCGACTACTACCGTATCACTTTCGATGTCGAGAGCCTGTTGCTCCTTGAATTACTGTCGATGCACCTCCACATGTCTCTGGAAGAGATACAGCTTTTTGCCGGTCTTGGGGGTATTGAACAAGAGCGTCGAGTGCAACAATCGATAAAAGAATGGGTGAAAAGCAAGAGGTCTCGACAAGCGGTATGGCATGCTGGCCAGGTCTACCGCACTATCAAATCACTGCCTCCGCAGCATCTTCGAGATTTCCACGCAGTATCTCTATTCCACGCGAGTTTCGCGTTTTGGGCTTACGGATTAGCATCCCGGATGTTTTGTCAGGACGCTGATAATCACAACTCGCTGTTTAGTGAATCGTTATCACATTCACAAAATCAGAATATCTGGCTGGATAGTGAAGAAACAACAGAAACATACAGGTACATTTCGTTGGGGATGGGCATTCCAATTCTTCAAGGAGTTTCGCAGGATACACCACCGGCGCAATTAACCGATCCAGCGGCCATCATGAGTGTTATCATCCAAAACTTAAGGCAAGGTGATAGCGAGCCCTTACGACCGAATTCTCCGTTAGTAGAGAACCTGATATCGATCATGCAGCGCTTAAGAGATACCACAATGGGAGGTTACAACACCGCTCACGGTTAGGATACCACAACCGACATTTAAAAATACATACCCTTTCGTGTTTTTAGCAGATTTCGGTAGATATCACTTCACAGCATTTGCATAGGGGATTTTTTGGCATAGAAACCTGCAAAGGTGACTGTCATGTAGCTGGTTGGAAAAAGCCACGCAACTATTGAAAGGCTATGTAACAGAGCTATCAGATCTGCCCAACCAACCAACATTATCATCTCTCATGCACGCGTAACGCAATATGAGTAAAATTGCAATTGCACCGTAAATTTCATGTAAGACTTTCAATTTCGAAGTCGGTTCAGGATCACAACGAGAATCCAGCATCTATTACTATATTTGTACCAGTCACAGATTTGGATAGTGCAAGATACTTGGCTTGCTGAGCAACATCCTTCAGACCGTCAGTATTAATGGTCAGAGAAAAACGAATAGGACATACTTCAGGAGTCGCAAAACGTTTTAGAGCATTTTTTGCTCGCACCTCGTTCAACTTTTTCTCTGGGAATTGGAGGCCCCAGTCCTGCAGTTGTCAGATCGAGGCGAAACGTCTTTGGACAGATTGAATGAATACTGTCATTAGAATGCCTGGAGAAACAGAATTGACACGAATTTTAGGTGCAGCAATGACCGCAAGGCTTCGCGAAAGGTGTATTAGCGCTGCTTTAGTAACTGCATATGGCTGCATATACTCTTAGCAATTCGTACATATAATGCTCAGCAGGATAGCTTACCAAGGAACTACCGCTAGGGGTAATGCCAGCCACACTTGCTGTAGCAATGAAAGCGCCCCCGCTTTCATCAAGATACTGCTTGCATTTATGGAAGAGAAAGAAATGGCTCTTTACGTTCATGTTGAAACAATGGTCCCAATCCTCTTCGGCCACAGCGTCTTGGAGGTTTGCGAAATCGGTTATACGTGTCCATCCTGCATTGGAAACTACGACATCTAGTCGGCCCATCTGCGCGATCGCTTCGTCCACGAGCCGAGAAACCTCTTCGCGTCTGCTCATATCGGCCCGTATTGCTGCAAATTTTGGAGAAACGAACTCTCCATTGTTGTTCTGGACAGAAGTGATTTGGTATAGATGTTTGACAAGTGCTTCTGCGCGTTCTGAATTTAAATTGAAATTGATCACAACGGACATGTTGGCCTCTCTCGCAAGAACTTTTGCGACTGCAGCACCAACGCCATTCGAACCAGCAGTTATTAGTGCGACTTTCGACATGATTTATGAATGGTTTTTGCTTTTCTTTCTGCTTCAAGGTCAAAACATAAAGGGGAGATGGAGGCTTCACATATATTGTCTATTTCGATGGGGTGTCAATGATCCAAACAAGGTTAGTATGACCAAGATCTGACTGCAGGTAGTTTGGAGTCACGTCTGAAGCAGGCCTAAACCAATCGGGTACATCGGGACCACATTGATGAAATACTATTTTACTGTGGATCACGCATCCATCCCACTCTCCTGCGCTTACAAAAAAAGCCAAATCCATTTTAGCGGAGATTGGCACCAGACTATCTGCTCCATTGCCATCCCTCGACTCAGCACTCCTTCCATCTTCCAATCTCCATTAGCCATGGCTAAATCTCCGGACACAGTTCTTGACAACGGGCTTCGCTCTGTCAATCGTTTCATAACCGACCATGATGCTGAAGGCAAGGAAACAATATCGAATGCGGTGCCAGAGACTTTAGTCTGGCAACAAATGGCAAACGGCGCGCGATTTAGCCTGGCTTATGCTACGGAAGAGTATCCTGTCAATCTCAGCAACAACGCCGATGTGTCAGTTTACCAAAAGAATCTTGTCGATCTTCCTGGTATCATCATCCCTGGAGGCACTATCCTTCGTGTTGTGGATATGGACCCAGGATCCATATCACCAATGCACCGTACCATCAGCTTGGACTATGGTGTAGTACTCGAGGGCGAAGTGGAATTGATTTTGAATTCTGGGGAATCAAGACTGCTGAAAAGGGGCGACATAGTGGTTCAAAGGAGCACCAATCATGCATGGAAGAATCCCAGTCCTACCAATTGGGCTCGAATGTTGTATGTTTTACAAGAAGCACTTCCAATGCAATTCAATGGAAAGACTCTGGAAGAGGATTACGGTGGTGGTATGGATGACGTTAAAAAGTCTTCAAAAGATTAGATAGGCTGTACTTCCTGAAAGATCAATGTACCATGTCTTATAACTCAGCTATAATGCCTGACTTAGTCCCAATGCCATAAAGCCATCAAAGATAAACTCAATTACGTTGCATAGGCCGATCACTCCTCTCCATGGTGTTCAGTGAGAAACTCCGGGTGGGCGGCTGGTCTCTGAGGCCCGATGCCAACCAGAATGATCGAATCAAACAGCAGCCTAGTAGGCCACATGGAAAACCGAAACCAGACAATGACTAAGTATCGGGACAGACCGTTGAGCCTCCGAATGTGGGCCCGATATATTGACACCTAATCTTTCATCACCAAAGAGCATAAGCTTCAGTCGACATGGATATATAGACATTGATGCAGAACAAGAAAGTTCGATAAAAGTCATTCTCTGACCCTAAGAAGACAACTATTCGAGTCCTAATTCTATACCAACTACATGGCTCGCCGCTTTCTCAAACACAGTTCAACTGCTGACAACGAGGCCAATGCGAAGCAGGTCGATGTCAGCGGCATCGTAAAAGGAGTTATTGATGATATTCGTACCAATGGAGACTCTGCCATCCGCAGGTATTCTAAGAAGTTTGATAATTGGTCCCCGGAAACTTTCAAGCTATCCCAGGCCGCAATTGATGCAGCAATTGCTGCAGTACCTTCGCAAACTATCGAAGACATCAAGACAGTCCAGTCAAATGTTAAGGATTTTGCGCAAGCACGGAGAGACTCAATCCGTGACTTTGAGCTGGAGACTCAACCTGTAAGTACTTAACAGTCGATTTTCTCAGATTTGGATTGATAAGGGAGATTTAGGGTGTCTTCTTAGGCCAGAAGAATGTGCCTATCTCAGTTGCCGGAGCTTATATTCCAGGCGGTCGATATCCTTTGCTGGCTTCCGCGCATATGACCATTCTTACCGCAAAAGTCGCTGGGGTACCTCGCGTCATTGGCTGCACACCTCCTATTGCAGGCCAAATCCCCAACTCAACTGTTGCGGCAATGCATCTAGCGGGTGCCGACGAGATTTTAATTCTAGGAGGTATTCAGGCCGTTGCCGCTATGGCCATCGGAACAGAGTCTATACAGAAGGTCGACTTTATCGCTGGACCTGGCAATGCTTTTGTGGCCGAAGGGAAGAGACAACTCTTTGGAGAAATCGGAATTGATCTCTTTGCGGGTCCCACTGAAATTCTCATTGTCGCGGATGAGACGGCAGATCCTTTCACAGTTGCAACTGACATTCTGTCTCAAGCGGAACATGGTCCAGACACACCAGCAGTCATCCTCACCACATCTGAGGAAGTTGGGAGGAAATCAATGGAGATCATTGACGAGTTGCTGAAAGAGCTTCCCACTGCGCAACTGGCCGGAACTTCCTGGAATGCCTTTGGTGAGGTTATCGTTGTCGACAGCCTTGATGAAGCATGGAGAGTGGCAGATGAATATGCCAGTGAGCACGTCCAAATCTTTACAAAAAATCCCCGAGAAGCCCTAGAGAAGACGAATGCATATGGTGCGCTTTTTCTGGGCGAAAAGACTTGTGTATCGTATGGAGACAAGGTTAGTTTGTGAGTCCAATGTTGATCTAGCGTGTGCTTAATTCATCTAGGTCATTGGAACAAACCACGTCTTGCCTACGCGGAAGGCCGCCAGATATACCGGGGGCCTTTGGGTTGGTAAGTTTCTCAGAACAGTCACTTATCAAGAAGTTAAAGACACTCAAGCAAGTGGCGAGTTAGGCCGCTTGTGTGGCAGAGCTGCTAGAGCGGAGAACTTCGAAGGTCACGCACGGTCTGGCGATCTCAGGGCACAGAAGTATCTCTCAGATGATTATTCTTGGATAACAAAGTCGAAAGACAGTTTAAAAACTTAGTTACCAGCAGTCTGTAATTGTAGGCCAGGCCTAAGCATTCGGCACAATATAGGACTCTAGCTACTAGTCAAGTAACTCTGCTTCCTAATTCCTCTTGAGTTCCTATCTTCCAGTACATAATGAGTCGCAATCGATTCTTTTGTGAAACATCGTGCCCCGTGTCAACCGCAATTATCAACTGTTGCGCTGTACAGAATTTGTAGGCAAATCATCCTCGAAGATTGCTTTCTGGAACTAATGAACATTCTTACTCCACCACCACACACACCAACTTTTAAGCAGAAATCTTTCATCAAAACTCGTCAATTTTCTATCAGATATAGGGGTAACACGTCGCGAGAAACCGATTTACGCCACCTCTAATGTGTGCAGCCCTCTCGTTGAGGTGCTAGAGGGGGTATTGTCGGTATTCTTGCGACGTGTTCGAAATGCGAAAATCTTCGAGAACGCACAGACGCCCC